CTAGTGCAGTTGTAATCTAGTTCTAGTTTAATTCTAGTTCAGTTCTACTTTAATTCTAGTTCAGTTCTAGTTCAGTTCTAGTTCAGTTCCAGTTCAGTTCTAGTTCAGTTCTAGTTCTAGTTCAGTTCTAGTTCAGTTCTAGTTCAGTTCTAGTTCAGTTCTAGTTCAGTTCTAGTTCAGTTCTAGTTCAGTTCTAGTTCAGTTCTAGTTCAGTTCTAGTTTAGTTCAAGTTCAGTTCAGTTCCAATTCAGTTTTAGTTCTTTCTAGTTCTCATCCAGTTCATTTCTAGTTTTTTCTATACGATTTAATTTACTAAAAAACAACAACACTTTGCTTAATCTGAAATAGTTCATCAAGCTTTTTTCTTCCCAAATTTTCTCTCCTAATTTTCACCACTATCTTTCTTAATTATTAACACATTTTTTATATAAACATATAAAACCGCAATTAAATTACATATAAGAATAAATAAAAATATTTTTAATTTCTTCATGTTATAACCATTATATTAACAAATATTGACGTCAATACTGTTTCTTTGATATTTCCTTCCAAAATGTTTCCACAGATTTTTTACTAATTTCCCTTAATTTTTCTAATAATATTTTTATATAATCTTATTAAGCAATATTTGAATGATATAAATAATTAACAATATTTTTAACAATTATTGATGACAAACACTTAACAAAACCGGGAACACTTAAAACTAACAAGAATAACAAACGATAATTGTCAAATTGATGTCCATATTGTTGTTGTTATTATTGTTATGCCTATTTATTCCCTTCCTAGTTGTTTGTTGTTATATTTGTTTTTAAAAGAGGTTGAGAAGTGGGAATAAGAAGTGTTTTGCATTACTATTCTCACTAACTCTTCCTTCATACATAAACATACACACTTACTCCATACATTTCTTATTAGAGTATTTAGTAAAGCATCAATAACAACAACAATAATAATAAGCATGACAAAACAAATCAAACATTTTTGACATTTTTCTTTTAGTTTGCGCGTAATTTTACAATTGTTTCGTCGGTTTTTAATAAGTGCTCGTGGTAATTAATAAATTTTCGCTATTAAAAGTAAACAAATTGCAAATATTTTTGCATAAATTTATAATTAAATAAATGTTTAATAATATTATGTAAAAAAGTTAATGAAAAATATGAAATTTAATAGTAAAAAGTGTAAGTGAAAATTGTGAAAAAAGTTGGTGGCAGAAGTTACAGGTGGCTGTTGGGAACAAAAGAATAATGTGTAATGGAGCAAGAGGCAGGAAAGGAGGTATTGAAATGTAGTGTTGTTTTTGTTATTGCATAAATTCCATCGAAAAAGAGAAGTCTCAAATTTAAAAATTGTTGCCAAAATTGGTAAGTGGCTGCTGGCCGGAGCTTCTGTGTTTTTGATAAATAGTGATGGTGAGAATGAAGAGGGCAGTGTAGTGCAGCTTTTAGTTGTTTTTGCTATTTAAAAAAAGTGACAGATGGCCGGTGTTCTTTCTACAAGTAGTAGGAAAGCAAGAGCAAGTAAAGAGGTTACTGCAATGTAGTGTTGTTTTTGTTTTTGCATAAATCCAATAGAAAAAGAAATGTCTCAAAGTTAAACATTGTTGGCAAATTTTTAAGGAGGCTGCAGGCCGGAGCTTTTTTTTGGGTTTTATAATATAAGGAAAAGCAGAACGGGAGAGAGGGTAGTGCAAAGTTTTGTTGTTATTGTTAATGCAAAAATTCAATGACAAAGTGTCTCAATGTTTTAGATGGGTGGCTGCTAGCCGGAGTGAGAAAAGAGGTTAGTGCCATGTTGTGTTGTTTCTATTAATAGTTGACGGTAAATGTTTTAAATGGAGTGCAGTATTGTTGTTGTTTTGCAAAATAGTAAGAAGTAGGTTGGTGTGTTGTTGTGTGTTTACTTTAAACTTAAAAGTAAATACCCACAACACGTATAAAGAGTGGTCGGTAATTTTAATTAATAAAATGTTAAAAAATTAAAGAAATTAATATGAATTTATTAATTTCGAAATTTTATTTTCAAATTTAGATGAACATTTTAAATAAAGTTAGAAAAACAATTTTGAATACATAATGCTCTAGAGCCTAGACTCTTTCTAGTTGAATTCTAGTTTTGTCCTAGTCTTAGTCCAGTTCTAGTGGCAGTTGTAGTCTAGTTCTAGTTTAATTCTATTTCAGTTTTAGTTATAGTTCAGTTCTAGTTCAGTTCTAGTTCAGTTCTAGTTCAGTTCTAGTTCAGTTCTAGTTCAGTTCTAGTTCAGTTCTAGTTCAGTTCTAGTTCTAGTTCAGTTCTAGTTAGTCAGTAGTTCTAGTTCAGTTCTAGTTCTAGTTCTAGTTCAGTTCTAGTTCAGTTCTAGTTCAGTTCTAGTTCAGTTCTAGTTCAGTTCTAGTTCAGTTCTAGTTCAGTTCAGTTCATTCAGTTCAGTTCAGTTCTAGTTCAGTTCTAGTTCAGTTCTAGTTCAGTTCTAGTAGTTCAGTTCTAGTTCAGTTCTAGTTCAGTTCTAGTTCAGTTCTAGTTCAGTTCTAGTTCAGTTCTAGTTCAGTTCTAGTTCAGTTCTAGTTCAGTTCTAGTTCAGTTCTAGTTCTAGTTCAGTTCTAGTTCAGTTCTAGTTCAGTTCTAGTTCAGTTCTAGTTCAGTTCTAGTTCAGTTCTAGTTCAGTTCTAGTTCAGTTCTAGAGTTCTAGTACAGTTCTAGTTCAGTTCTAGTTCAGTTCTAGTTTAGTTCTAGTTCATTTCTAGTTCAGTTCTACTTTAGTTCTAGTTCAGTTCTAGTTCAGTTCTAGTTCTAGTTCAGTTCTAGTTCAGTTCTAGTTCTAGTTCAGTTCTAGTTCTAGTTCAGTTCTAGTTCAGTTCTAGTTCAGTTCTAGTTCAGTTCTAGTTCAGTTCTAGTTCAGTTCTAGTTCAGTTCTAGTTCAGTTCTAGTTCAGTTCTAGTTCAGTTCTAGTTCAGTTCTAGTTCAGTTCTAGTTCAGTTCTAGTTCAGTTCTAGTTCAGTTCTAGTTCTAGTTCAGTTCTAGTTCAGTTCTAGTTCAGTTTAGTTCAGTTCTAGTTCAGTTCTAGTTCAGTTCTAGTTCAGTTCTAGTTCAGTTCTAGTTCAGTTCTAGTTCAGTTCTAGTTCAGTTCTAGTTCAGTTCTAGTTCAGTTCTAGTTCAGTTCTAGTTCGGTTCTAGTTCAGTTCTAGTTCAGTTCTAGTTCAGTTCTAGTTCAGTTCTAGTTCAGTTCTAGTTCAGTTCTAGTTCAGTTCTAGTTCAGTTCTAGTTCAGTTCTAGTTCAGTTCTAGTTCAGTTCTAGTTCAGTTCTAGTTCAGTTCTAGTTTAGTTCTAGTTCAGTTCTAGTTCAGTTCTAGTTCAGTTCTAGTTCAGTTCTAGTTCAGTTCTAGTTCAGTTCTAGTTCAGTTCTAGTTCAGTTCTAGTTCAGTTCTAGTTCAGTTCTAGTTCAGTTCTACTTCAGTTCTACTTCAGTTTTGGTTCAGTTCTAGTTCAGTTCTATTTCAGTTCTAGTTCAGTTCTAGTTCAGTTCTAGTTCAGTTCTAGTTCAGTTCTAGTTCAGTTCTAGTTCAGTTCTAGTTCAGTTCTAGTTCAGCTCTAGTTCAGCTCTAGTTCAGTTCTAGTTCAGTTCTAGTTCAGTTCTAGTTTTGTTTTTATTCAGTTCTAGTTCACTTCTAGTTCAGTTCTAGTAGCAGGAATTGTCAAGAATATAACCAGTATAGGTAGACTTTGGCCCATATTCCTCCACTGAAATAAATGAAAGTTTTTTTTAGTTGCAACTCTAAGCTGAATTAAGGGTTTCCTTTGATCAATAATTCCTAAAAAGCGGCATTTGCGACAAAATCAGTAATACTTACCTGTAGTTAAAATATTTGAATAAAACTTTAAGTTTCAGTTATTTTTAGATAGTATAGGAAGTGAAACATTGACATTGAGTTTATTTTACTGTTTTGTTGTTGAAATAATTTACATACTTTTTTGGGGTTTTAATATAGTTTAAATAATTTTTGTTTTTAATTGTTTATGTGTTTAAATTTATTTCGTATTGACAACATCAGACTTACAATTATTGTAAATATGTTTATTTATTTTTTAAATTTTTATTTGTTTTTGTTTTATATTTGTATATAGTAGTATAATATAATACTGTTGAAATTTTTATATTTTTTTTAACATTTATTTATATAATTTTTTTTTATAAGTAAATGATGTTTTTTTTGTAATTAAAACAAAATTATTGTCAATTTTTTATTACAAGAATTTTTTTTATAATTTTTTTTATAAATTTTGGGTACACAAATAGTTTTCTCTTTAAATTATTGTCTTTTCTTTGTTTCCTGGGCAAACAAATACTCGGTTTAGAGAGTTTTTTTGTTTGCAAATTTTATTACTAAAAATTATTGTCCTTTTTTTTTTCAAGCAGTTTTTTTTTGTTTTTTTTAATTTATATATAATTTAAATACATGCAATATAAATTATTATATTTTTTTATATGTATATATATTTTAATAAGAAAAAATTATTGTCTTGCTTATTAATTAGTATTTTTTTAATATTTAAATATCAAAGTTAGGAATTTATGTTTTTTTTTTGTTAAATATTTTGTTTCATTTGCAATTATTGTCTTAGATTCAAATTTAAAAACAAAAACTCTCACTTTCTAGCCTTTTTATATATTTTTTTATAATAAATAGCAGCCATTTTTTTCAAGGGTTTTTTCAAAAAAAAATTTAAAAATTTTTTTTCTTTTTCTAAGATTTTTTTTTCTTCTTCTACTAAATGATATTATTGTCCAGATATGTTGTAATTTTATAAATAGTATTTAAGATATGATAATATTGATATATAAATGTTGTTGTTTTTTTAAGATTTTTTTCTGAAAGTAGAGTTTTAAATATTTTCAAACATTATTTGTTTTAACACATTTTAAAAGTTTTCTACTAAATTTTTTAATTAATTTGCTTTAATATTTTTTATAAATTTATATAAATATTTATAATTTTTTTTTTTTTGTAATTTTTTTAATAATTAATTTAATAACGATAATTAGCATCATTACGCCGAAAACTTCTGCGATGCATGGCTGTTATACGTGGTGGTGTGCCCCAAGTATGTAAAGGACCATTTAGGGCGGCCGGATGTCTTAAAATATTTGGTGTAGCCGCTGAATAAGAGGGCAAATAGTTGGTATTAATACTGCGTGAGTGTTCTTCGGTTTGTACATATTTTGGCCAGCGACCACGTATACCAGTAGCACCCCAATTAACCACGGGCCGATAGGGTAGGAAACATCGTTTACAAACGGCTGCGATGGGTTGACGCAGTCGCTCTGGTTGGGGGTAATACTCGACCTAATTAGCCATAGCATATATAGGATATTTGCCAATAAAACAAAAAGAATAAAACAATTATTTGTAATTATTTAATATTTTTCTATATGCTCAAAAAAATAGTACTTTCACATTTAATTAATTAAAATTAAAAAATAGATTTTTTTCTGCTTAAACATTTTACACATTTACACAGTTGCTAATTTAATTACTTGTTAAAGTTTGTTTATAACTAATTTATTTATAACATTCTATGCTTTATATATATCGCTTCATACACAGCCATTGACATTTAATTTATTTATAGTTTTTTTTTTTATAAATAATTTTTCATTACCATTCATGCAAGTTTGTTGCTATAGTTAGTAAATGCAATAATGTATTTTCTTAAAATAGTATTATTTACAGTTTTTTATATAATTTTTTTTTGAATACATTACACACCAGTTTATAGTTCAGTTCAAAATCTAAAGGTCTGTCTAGAAACTGGGTCTATACAATCTTGTTTTCTTGGCATACTGTCTTGATCACAGTCTGGTGCTTAGAACAGGCAATAGTCTACACTATAGTCCTGACTATATTATTGTCTGTAGTCTATTCTACACATTCTCTTAAGTTTCTATAATCAGGTCAATAATCTTATTTATAGCTCTAGGTCAGTTCTAGTTCTGTTCTAGTGCTGTTCTAGTACTGTTCTAGTTCTGTTCTAGTTGTGTTCTAGTTGTATTCTAGTTGTGTTCTAGTTATGTTCTAGTTGTGTTCTAGTTGTGTTCTAGTTGTGTTCTAGTTGTATTCTAGTTGTGTTCTAGTTGTATTCTAGTTGTGTTCTAGTTCTTTTCCAGTTGTGTTCTAGTTCTGTTCAAGTTCTGCTCTAGTTCTGTTCTGGTTTTGTTCTAGTTCTGTTCTAGTTGTGTTCTAGTTGTGTTCTAGTTGTGTTCTAGTTGTGTTCTAGTTGTGTTCTAGTTCTGTTCTAGTTCTGTTCTAGTTCTGTTCTAGTTCTGTTCTAGTTCTGTTCTAGTTCTGTTCTAGTTCTGTTCTAGTTGTGTTCTAGTTCTGTTCTAGTTCTGTTCTAGTTCTGTTCTAGTTCTGTTCTAGTTCTGTTCTAGTTCTGTTCTAGTTGTGATTCTTAGTTGGTCTAGTTGTGTTTCTAGTTCGGTTCTAGTTCTGTTCTAGTTCTGTTCTATTTCTGTTCTAGTTCTGTTCTAGTTCTGTTCAAGTTCTGTTTCTAGTTCTGTTCTAGTTTCTGTTCTAGTTCTGTTCTAGTTCTGTTCTGTTCTAGTTCTGTTCTAGTTCTGTTCTAAGTTCTGTTCTAGTTCTTTTCTAGTTCTGTTCTAGTTTTGTTCTAATTCTGTTCTAGTGCTGTTGGTATTCTGTTCTAGTTCTGTTATAGTTCTGTTATAGTTCTGTGTCTAGTTCTGTTTTTAGTTCTGTTCTAGTTTGTGTTCTAGTTGTAATCTAGTTCTGTTCTATTTCTGTTCTAGTTTCTGTTCTGGTTTTGTTCTAGTTGTGTTCGTGTTGTGTTCTAGTTTGTTCTAGTTCTGTTCTAGTTCTGTTCTAGTTCTGTTCTAGTTCTATTCTAGTTCTGTTCTAGTTCTATTCTAGTTCGGTTCTAGTTCGGTTCTAGTTCTGTTCTAGTTCTGTTCTAGTTCTAGTAGATATTAATTATATCTTAAAAATTTTATAAAATGTTTAAAATTACTGTGCTTTAAAAATTAATATAAAAACTCGCATTCAGAGATATTTTTTAAAACCTCATATTAACATATTTTGCGGTATTATGGCCACCCTATGTATAAGCCAGTGTGGTAAAAATAGTAACGGTTCAATGTTTTTTGTGGTGTGTTATAGATGGTAGTTGTCTTTACTACTTAAATCAGTTATTTTTCCTTACTTAGCTCCCTAAAGTATGCAACACATTATGTTGTAATAAGAATAAAAGCAAACAATAAAGCAAGGAAAAGAAACCCATTTCCAATAAGAATTTTATAATTTAAAAAATATAATCTTGTTTTTATTGGAAACAGTGTATGAAATTATCAGGAATTATAAAGATTTCATAAGAATTATGGAAGAAATTATACAAGATTTTCTTAAAAATGAATTATTTGTTTTACTTCTTAAGTTGCACTAAAACACATTTAATCCACATATTGTTCTTAATGTTCCCAACAAATCTTCTAAAATTTTTCACTCTACCACAAAAACAAAAAGTTGTGGTTGTATAAACAAATAAAAACTAAAAGTTTTCTTGCAGCAAAAAGTTAAATAAAAATCATTAGTTTTCTTAGTAGTTTGCTGCAACTCTTGCCATGCTTTTAAATTGCAGTAAAACCTCAATTCATTTTTAAATTTCCTTTCTAAAGAAAGATGAAAAAAAAACAAGGAAATTATATTGTTCTATGTAGTAGAAAACTAACATCGTCATCATTGTCACCAACAACATCTTTAGTTTTCATCAACACACACTATCGTCACCATTAACACATGACATTGTTCCAACTTATAAACTAATAAAAGTGAAGAAAAGTTTTTCTCTGTTCTTTTGCAAAAGACAAACTTAAATATAATACAGTGGAACTAAAAAGCATAATAGAAAAAAAACAGGCATACAATTAAGTCACATTCACACATACTACATATAGAGTACATATTTGTATAATAGTTGGCAGAAACTTTGGGCAAATTGAAAAGGTTTTCTCTCAAGGATAAAATAATAAAAGTAAAATAAAATTTTATGAATAATTTATTAAGAGTAAAATGGAAGTTACACATTTCTACTTCATTCCTAATTCAGTTCAGTTCTAGTTTAGTTTTAGTTCAGTCTTATTTCAATTCTAGCTCAGTTCTAGTTCAGTTCTAGTTCAGTTCTAGTTCAGTTCTAGTTCAGTTCTAGTTCAGTTCTAGTTCAGTTCTAGTTCAGTTCTAGTTCAGTTCTAGTTCAGTTCTAGTTCAGTTCTAGTTCAGTTCTAGTTCAGTTCTAGTTCAGTTCTAGTTCAGTTCTAGTTCAGTTCTAGTTCAGTTCTAGTTCAGTTCTAGTTCAGTTCTAGTTCTAGTTTAGTTCAGTTCTAGTTCAGTTCTAGTTCAGTTCTAGTTCAGTTCTAGTTCAGTTCTAGTTCAGTTCTAGTTCTAGTTCAGTTCTAGTTCAGTTCTAGTTCAGTTCTAGTTCAGTTCTAGTTCAGTTCTAATTCAGTTCTAGTTCAGTTCTAGTTCAGTTCTAGTTCAGTTCTAGTTCAGTTCTAGTTCAGTTCTAGTTCAGTTCTAGTTCAGTTCTAGTTCAGTTCTAGTTCAGTTCTAGTTCAGTTCTAGTTCAGTTCTAGTTCAGTTCTAGTTCAGTTCTAGTTCAGTTCTAGTTCAGTTCTAGTTCAGTTCTAGTTCAGTTCTAGTTCAGTTCTAGTTCAGTTCTAGTTCAGTTCTAGTTCAGTTCTAGTTCAGTTCTAGTTCAGTTCTAGTTCAGTTCTAGTTCAGTTCTAGTTCAGTTCTAGTTCAATTCTAGTTCAGTTCTAATTCAGTTCTAGTTCAGTTTTAGTTCAGTTCTAGTACATTTCTGGTTCAGTTCTAGTTTCTAGTTTACTTTAATTTAAAAAAGTGTATTTCCTTTCAAACCTTAAAACACCCCAGGTTGTAAACAAAACAAATAAATTGAAAAACTTTAACAACGAAATCTAAGTTGTAGGTATTTAATTTTTGCTTTCAAAGTCTCTTTACTAATATAAAATCCTAGAAACTGCGACGAAAACAAACGAACCTAAAGCGGAAATTAAATCAAATAAACTTAAATTAAAAACAGCTTTAATAAATAACAAAAGGTGAACAGATAAAAGGTCAAGCTGTTAAGGCTGCTGGTCCAACCATTCAAAATCGAGAAAAACAGAAACAAGAAAATAAACACTCTGCTGGAAATTAAATAAAGGAAAATGAGTAAGAAAACATAAAATACTAAATACTACGTAAAGAAATATTAAAGCAAATCAAGAAAAAATTTAGGAAAAAAAAGAAAGCTGTTAAATAAAGTAAAAGAATATAATTTATATAACGGATATAACAATTGTTAAGATTTTGAATGGAAAGAAGGAAAATTACACACACACACTCACACTTGCTAAAGCAACTGAAAAAAATGATAATAAAAATCCACTACCAAAGCAAAATAGACAGGAAGTACAGGCAAACACACACTCACACTTGAGAATGTACGACAGAGTATTCAATAGAAAACAGGTGTGTGTTTGTTTATTTGTTTGTCTGAATGTTTGTATATGTATTAGAAGAAGCATTAGAAGATATACTACACACACATGCAATATTACAGTTACAACATACATATACTCAGAGCAGCTGCATTGACATTAAAGCTTAATGTTTTTTTTAAATAACTTTTTCTATATCTTTGTATTTGTTTGTAATATTAAATGCTCGTATCCTGTTTAAAATTTTATTTTACAATACACTCCTTCTGTTTGTTATTGTATTTCAGTCGTTTTTACGTTGTTCTTCAAGGTTTTAATAAAACCAGAAACGTAACTAAGGAGAATAGAAGAGAAGATAATAGATTTGAACTAGAACAGAACTAGAACAGAACTGGAACAGAACTAGAACAGAACTAGAACAGAACTCGAACAGAACTAGAACAGAACTAGATCAGAACTAGAACAGAACTAGAACAGAACTAGAACAGAACTAGAACAGAACTAGAACAGAACTAGAACAGAACTAGAACAGAACTAGAACAGAACTAGAACAGAACTAGAACAGAACTAGAACAGAACTAGAACAGAACTAGAACAGAACTAGAACAGAACTAGAACAGAACTAGAACAGAACTAGAACAGAACTAGAACTGAACTAGAACTGAACTAGAACTGAACTAGAACTGAACTAGAACTAAACTAGAACTGAACTAGAACTGAACTAGAACTGAACTAGAACTGAACTAGAACTGAACTAGAACTGAACTAGAACTGAACTAGAACTGAACTAGAACTGAACTAGAACTGAACTAGAACTGAACTAGTACTGAACTAGAACTGAACTAGAACTGAACTAGAACTGAACTAGTACTGAACTAGAACTGAACTAGAACAGAACTAGAACTGAACTAGAACTGAACTAGAACTGAACTAGAACTGATTAACTAGAACTGAACTGAACTAGAACTGAACTAGAATTGAACTAAACGAACTAGAACTGAACTAGAACTGAATAGAACTGAACTAGAACTGAACTAGAACTGAACTAGAACTGAACTAGAACTGAACTAGACTGAACTAGAACTGAACTAGAACTGAACTAGAACTGAACTAGAACTGAACTAGAACTGAACTAGAACTGAACTAGAACTGAACTAGAACTGAAATAGAACTGAACTAGAACTGAACTAGAACTGAACTAGAACTGAACTAGAACTGAACTAGAACTGAAACTAGAACTGAACTAGAACTGAACTAGAACTGAACTAGAACTGAACTAGAACTGAACTAGAACTGACCTAGAACTGAACTAGAACTGAACTAGAACTGAACTAGAACTGAACTAGAACTGAACTAGAACTGAACTAGAACTGAACTAGAACTGAACTAGAACTGAACTAGAACTGAACTAGAACTGAACTAGAACTGAACTAGAACTGAACTAGAACTGAACTAGAACTGAACTAGAACTGAACTAGAACTGAACTAGAACTGAACTAGAACTGAACTAGAACTGAACTAGAACTGAACTAGAACTGAACTAGAACTGAACTAGAACTGAACTAGAACTGAACTAGAACTTACTAGAACTGAACTAGAACTGAACTAGAACTGAACTAGAACTGAACTAGAACTGAACTAGAACTGAACTAGAACTGAACTAGAACTGAACTAGAACTGAACTAGACGAACTAGAACTGAACTAGAACTGAACTAGAACTGAACTAGAACTGAACTAGAACTGAACTAGAACTGAACTAGAACTGAACTAGAACTGAACTAGAACTGAACTAGAACTGAACTAGAACTGAACTAGAACTGAACTAGAACTGAACTAGAACTGAACTAGAACTGAACTAGAACTGAACTAGAACTGAAACTAGAACTGAACTAGAACTGAACTAGAACTGAAACTAGAACTGAACTAGAACTGAACTAGAACTGAACTAGAACTGAACTAGAACTGAACTAGAACTGAACTAGAACTGAACTAGAACTGAACTAGAACTGAACTAGAACTGAACTAGAACTGAACTAGAACTGAACTAGAACTGAACTAGAACTGAACTAGAACTGAACTAGAACTGAACTAGAACTGAACTAGAACTGACTAGAACTGAACTAGAACTGAACTAGAACTGAACTAGAACTGAACTAGAACTGAACTAGAACTGAACTAGAACTGAACTAGAACTGAACTAGAACTGAACTAGAACTGAACTAGAACTGAACTAGAACTGAACTAGAACTGAACTAGAACTGAACTAGAACTGAACTAGAAATGAACTAGAACTGAACTAGAACTGAACTAGAACTGAACTAGAACTGAACTAGAACTGAACTAGAACTGAACTAGAACTGAACTAAAACTGAACTAGAACTGAACTAGAACTGAACTGGAACTGAACTGTTATTTCCATGTAACTTAAACTTCCTTTAGCTACGTCCCTGTTTCTAAATTCCTTTAAAATAATAGGAATTTATTTAAAAAATGTTGTTTTATTAAATATTTCTTTTAACATTCCATCTCTTGTTATTTTTTGGCATTAAAAAACGTACAAAAATTTGTCAACAGAAGCTTCATGTCTTCAATTTTTTTTGTTACATTTTCCATATTACATTGATGTTATTGTTTGTTGTTTTTTTTGCTGCCTAAATAATACACATCTATTAAATTATTTGCAAAAATAAATTGTATTCAAATTTGAATACAAAATACAAAAGTATCAAATAAATTGAAAAAAGAACTCAACAACCTAAAAGTAGGCTTTTGTTTAAAACAGATTACATTTTTTGTTCACAGCCTAAATATAGACTACAAATGTTATGTTTGTGTTTTTTTCTGTGCTAGAATGTAGGTGTTTTGCATATGTGTTGTTTCTGGCATGTTGGTATAAGTGTGTATGTGTGTGAGTGCAAAATTACATGCTTCAATTACAAATTCCACAAATCAAATACTACGTTTTTCAAGGCAAGGGAAACTTATTATTGTGCGACACACAACACAACAGAACAAAAAAACTTAATTTTGAAACTCAATCAATTAAATTAGAAATTTCGTAACGAAAACAAGAAACAAACTGAACACATTTTAGGAGAAGAAGTAGTAGAAGAAGAAGAAGAAACAGAAAAGATAGCACACAAATCACCGCCATTTACTCATACAAATTGCCTGGCACGTCCAGAACGACTAAAACGGCCTCCACCTACACCGGAACCAGCGGTACTGCGCAGAGCCCTATACGAGGGCAAAAATCCCGAACGATATACAGCACCTATATGACGTTTTGAGGGTACCGGTGCAAAATGTCCCTCCTCATCCTCCTCCTCATCGGCAGCCGCTTCATCAGCTAAATCTTCAGCTACACTATGACTGTCAACGGCTTCGTCGGGCAGATGATTGACAGTTGTTAGTGGCGTTAGATCTTCATCATCAAGATTTTGTAATAAATGTGCATGTTCTAGACCAAATAGTTCGGGATCCTTAGAGGTATCTTTTGGGTTTTCAATTTAAATTTTTGGAATTTTGAGTTTTTTTGTTGTTAGTTGGGTTTAGTAGTAGTAGTAGTATTTGTTTTGGGTAGTATATATATATATAAATAATTTGTTAAATTTATAAGGCATACTTTTAGGTTTTTCTTAAGATATTTTTTTTTAAGTATTTGTATATATATTTTTATTTATATTATCGTTTATATTATATATACAAACATATATTTCCATTTTTTTTTTTTTGCATTATATACATTCCTTTATTAAACTAAATTTACAATAATAACACTCACCTAAAAATCTCTTTTGGGCCCTTCCGAAATCATCCCAATCTAAATCGGCATAAGTGCCATAGTTCCAGTAGTAAGCCAAAGGATCAATATAATTATTATACTCAGCTGGCAAATACACATCATCTTCGGAACGCTTCAATTGCACACCACCATGCACCGGAGATCCCTTCAAAGCTCCAATATTACGTTTCTCGGCGGCATTGTTGTACATACGTGAGTTATAACGTGCCACTGAAGCTAAATTCCTCTTAGGATCATTACGATTACCCAACATACCCAAACGTGCCATGGTAGCCAAGTTACGTTTACCATTTTGTGGCAATTGGAAATCTCTAGCTAAAGTGCCAATATTACGTTTGCCATAACCCATTAAACCACCCGAACGTGCCAAAGCTCCCACATAACGTTTATCTTCGGAGCGTTGTTCGCCATCGGGTATTATCTCAGGATCGGGTGTGGGTAATTGTCCATTTTTAGCTAGTGTAGCTAAACTACGTTTAGCCGCTGCAGCTGCATTGTTGTTGTGATGTAAAAGACCTTGAGCTGCGAGGGCGGCCACTGAACGTTTATCTTCTTCTAAATAGTCCATGTCATTGTTGAGGCTTTGTTCTTCGCCCTCTTCGAGCTGGCGTTCACGTAATATGTTGCGTAGTTGGTTGCGCAAAGAAGCGGCCTGTAAAAAAATAAACAGTTCAAATAAGTTAGGTTCTCTTTCAGATATAGTTGAGTTTTAATTAAAATTCGATTCGATTTTTGGTTCTAGTTAAGTTTTACTTGAGCTCTAGTTCCATTTTAGTTCTAGTTCAATTATAAATAATTGTGTTCTTGTTGAGTTTTAGATGAGTTCTACTTCGGTTCTAGTTGAGTCCTAGTACCGTTCTGGTTCAGTGTTGGTTCATGTAGTTCCGCCCATTCAAGTTCTAGTTCAGTTCTAGTTCAGTTCTAGTTCAGTTCTAGTTCAGTTCTAGTTCAGTTCTAGTTCAGTTCTAGTTCAGTTCTAATTCAGTTCTAATTCAGTTCTAGTTCAGTTCTAGTTCAGTTCTAGTTTAGTTTTAGTTCAGTTCTAGTAGTTCTAGTTCAGTTCTAGTTCAGTCTAGTTCAGTAGTCTAGTCAGTTCTAGTTCAGTTCTAGTTCAGTCTAGTCAGTTCTAGTTCAGTTCTAGTTCAGTTCTAGTTCAGTTCTAGTTCAGTTCTAGTTCAGTTCTAGTTCAGTTCTAGTTCAGTTCTAGTTCAGTTCTAGTTCAGTTCTAGTTCAGAGTTCATAGTTCAGTTCTAGTTCAGTTCTAGTTCAGTTTCTAGTTCCAGTTCTAGTTCAGTTCTAGTTCAGTCTAGTTTCAGTTTAGTTCAGTTCTAGTTCAGTTCTAGTTTAGTTTTAGTTCAGTTCTAGTTCAGTTCTAGTTTAGTTTTAGTTTCAGTTCTAGTTCAGTTCTAGTTCAGTTCTAGTTTCAGTTCTAGTTCAGTTCTAGTTCAGTTCTAGTTCAGTTATCCTAGTTCAGTTCTAGTCAGTTCTAGTTCAGTTCTAGTTCAGTTCTAGTTCAGTTCTAGTTCAGTTCTATTGTTCAGTTCTAGTTCAGTTCTAGTTCAGTTCTAGTTCAGTTCTAGTTCAGTTCTAGTTCAGTTCTGTTCAGTTCTAGTTCAGTTCTAGTTCAGTTCTAGTTCAGTTCTAGTTCAGTTCTAGTTCAGTCTAGTTCAGTTCTAGTTCAGTTCTAGTTCAGTTCTAGTTCAGTTCTAGTTCAGTTCTAGTTCAGTTCTAGTTCAGTTCTAGTTCAGTTTCTAGTTCAGTTCTAGTTCAGTTCTAGTTCAGTCTAGTTCAGTTCTAGTTCAGTTTCTAGTCAGTTCTAGTTCAGTTCTAGTTCTGTTCTTAGTTCTGTTCTAGTTCAGTTCTAGTTCGTTCTAGTTCTGTTCTAGTTCTGTTCTAGTTCTGTTCTAGTTCTGTTCTAGTTCTGTTCTAGTTCTGTTCTAGTACTGTTCTAGTTCTGTTCTAGTTCTGTTCTAGTTCAGTTCTAGTTCTAGTTCTAGTTCTAGTTTCGTAGTTCTAGTTCTAGTTCTGTTCTAGTCTGTTCTAGTTCTGTTCTAGTTCTGTTCTAGTTCTGTTCTAGTTCTGTTCTAGTTCTGTTTCTAGTTCTGTTCAGTTTCTAGTTCTGTTCTAGTTCTGTTCTAGTTCTGTTAGTTCTGTTCTAGTTCTGTTCTAGTTCTGTTCTAGTTCTGTTCTAGTTCTGTTCTAGTTCTGTTCTAGTTCTGTTCTAGTTCTGTTCTAGTTCTGTTCTAGTTCTGTTCTAGTTCTGTTCTAGTTCTGTTCTAGTTCTGTTCTAGTTCTGTTCTAGTTCTGTTCTAGTTCTGTTCTAGTTCTGTTCTGTTCTGTTTTGTTCTGTTCCAGTTCTGTTCTATTTCTGTTCTAGTTCTGTTCTGTTTTGTTCTGTTCCAGTTCTGTTCTATTTCTGTTCTATTTCTGTTCTAGTTCTGTTCTATTTCTGTTCTAGTTCTATTTTAGTTTCTGTTTTAGTTCTGTTTTAGTTCTGTTTTAGTTCTGTTTAGTTCTGTTCTAGTTCTAGTTCAGTTCTAGTTCTGTTCTAGTTCTGATCTAGTTCTGTTCAGTTCTGTTCTCTTCAGTTCTAGTTCTGTTCTAGTTCTGTTCTAGTTCTGTTCTAGTTCTGTTCTAGTTCTGTTCTAGTTCTGTTCTAGTTCTGTTCTAGTTCTGTTCTAGTTCTGTTCTAGTTCTGTTCTAGTTCTGTTCTAGTTCTGTTCTAGTTCTGTTCTAGTTCTGTTTTGGTTTTGTTCAGTTCTGGTGTAGTTCTAGTTCTGTTTTGGTTTTGTTCAGTTCTGTTCTAGTTCTGTTCTAGTTCTGTTCTAGTTCTGTTCTAGTTCTGTTCTAGTTCTGTTCTAGTTCTGTTCTAGTTCTGTTCTAGTTCTGTTCTAGTTCTGTTCTAGTTCTGTTCTAGTTCTGTTCTGTTCTAGTTTCGTACAATTATTCTCTTTTTTTAAATTGAATGTTTATTAAGTTTGCTTTTAACTCTTTAACCTCTTTTATTACCTTTTGCTTTTCTAACGTGTTAAATAGTTTATCAATTTGAAATTAAACTAAATCCCAACAGAATAATTTCATTACATTTTCCTTCCCATAAGAAGTTTTGTTCTTTTCTTAACGTAATGGCTTCGGTCATTGTCTCAAATGGGGAAGTAAATGGAAAAATATGTTAATAATACTTACGTGCATTTGATACTGAGGACTTGGATACACCAATTGATTTATAATGGATTCCAATTCACAAGGTGATACATTGGCAACATCATCTGTGGCTTTAACGGCACGTGGATGTTGTAGCTGGAAAGAGAAGTGAAAAGGCAAGAAGAAAGGAAAGTCAATTTATGAGAAACGCAAAAAATGTTCCTTTAAATATAAGCCTTAAACAAAAATTGCGTTGAAATGAAAAGAGATTGGAAAAAAGAAAAAAAAGAAAATGTTTTCCTCCACAAAGAAGTAATTTAATGGCTCAACAATAAACACTCTTTTCATAAAAAAGTTGAAAATGAAAACAGAAATTAAATGTTTTTATGATGTTGACAGACGATGTTTTAACAAAATGGCATTTATGTCTTTACAAACAGGAGACAGTATTTCCAGGAAGAATTGAGAGAAAAAAGAAAGTGTTTTTTAATATGTGTGTATATGCACAACAACAAGAACAACAAGCTAAATGTAAAAATAATTGCAAAATTGTAAAGAAATTTAATTTAAAATTAAGCTAAAGTTTCCATTTTCTTACTTGCTTTTCTAACAAAAATTCCTTTAGTTAATGAATTTATTTAATAGAATTTCTTATATGACTAGAATTTTTAATGTTGTATACTTTCTGGCTATTATAATAAACCTTCATGCATAAAAAACTTTGCATACTTTTAGGAAAAAATAAAATTACATTAATTGTATTAAAACACTCAGTGGGTTTTTAAAATTATAGTTAAATTTTTGCGTTTTCGCAACTGGAATTTTAATGAGAATTAAAATTATTTTTATAAAATTTAAAAAGAGAGATAAGAAGTATTCCTCTTTAAAATATTAGCATACCTTAAAAGGATTAAATTTTCTGTAGTTTGTTCTCTTATAGTTACAATAACATTTGACATTTAAACGCAATTTACAACAAATTATGGTTAAATTTAAACATTTGTTTTGCCTACCTTTAGGCGTTTCATTTCCACCTATGCAAATTGTAGCCTATCTTACAGGCTTTAGAAAACGTTATTGAACACCTCCTCTAACATTTATAAAAAGAAATCTTACAAATACTTACAATCTTTAAAAGATTTAAGCATTTTCCGAAAACTCCTTTATAAACCTGTAAGTTGTCTAAAGAAGCTTTTCCTAAAACTTGCCTACTTTTAGGATTTTATTATTTCAAACATTTGTTTAAGCAATTCTAATTCCCCAAGTGAACAAATTTAATAGCCTACTTTTAAGTGTAAGCAAAGTTTTTTTCTTGCAAAACAGAGGCATACTTCAAGGAGTTTAAAACTTTAGTTTTGTTTAAAAGCAATTGTAAAAGTTAATTTTTATTCTAAGTGTTTATTCTAACACTTAAAACTTTTATATTCTGTATAAAATTTAAATTTTTTTATAATATTTTTTTCTTTAGCTTAAGGTTTCTCCAAAAATTGTTACATATTTTAAGGGGTTTTATTAAGAAAAGTCTACTTTTAGGCAAATAAAATGTATTTTTAGATTTCTTTAAGAGTTCATTATACTAAAAATTACTTTGTTTTTAAATTTAAATGACTGAATGTCAATACACTTTTATGAAAATTAGCTATGAAGGTCAGCCATTGGCAGAGATTCAATTTATTGTTATTAAATTAATGAAAATAAGTTCAGTTCTAGTTCAGTTCTAGTTCAGTTCTAGTTCAGTTCTAGTTCAGTTCTAGTTCAGTTCTAGTTCAGTTCTAGTTCAGTTCTAGTTCAGTTCTAGTTCAGTTCTAGTTCAGTTCTAGTTCAGTTCTAGTTCAGTTCTAGTTCAGTTCTAGTTCAGTTCTAGTTCAGTTCTAGTTCAGTTCTAGTTCAGTTCTAGTTCAGTTCTAGTTCAGTTCTAGTTCAGTTCTAGTTCAGTTCTAGTTCAGTTCTAGTTCAGTTCTAGTTCCTAGTTCAGTTCTAGTTCAGTTCTAATTCACTTCCAGTTCAGTTCTAGTTCAGTTCTAGTTCAGATCTAGTTCAGTTCTAGTTCAGTTCTAGTTCAGTTCTAGTTCAGTTCTAGTTCAGTTCTAGTTCAGTTCTAGTTCAGTTCTAGTTCAGTTCTAATTCAGTTCTAGTTCAGTTCTAGTTCAGTTCTAGTTCAGTTCTAGTTCAGTTCTAGTTCAGTTCTAGTTCAGTTCTAGTTCAGTTCTAGTTCAGTTCTAGTTCAGTTCTAGTTCAGTTCTAGTTCAGTTCTAGTTCAGTTCTAGTTCAGTTCTAGTTCAGTTCTAGTTCAGTTCTAGTTCAGATCTAGTTCAGTTCTAGTTCAGTTCTAGTTCAGATCTAGTTCAGATCTAGTTCAGATCTAGTTCAGTTCTAGTTCAGTTCTAGTTCAGTTCTAGTTCAGTTCTAGTTCAGTTCTAGTTCAGTTCTAGTTCAGTTCTAGTTCAGTTCTAGTTCAGTTCTAGTTCAGTTCTAGTTCAGTTCTAGTTCAGTTCTAGTTCAGTTCTAGTTCAGTTCTAGTTCAGTTCTAGTTCAGTTCTAGTTCAGTTCTAGTTCAGATCTAGTTCAGTTCTAGTTCAGTTCTAGTTCAGTTCTAGTTCAGATCTAGTTCAGATCTAGTTCAGTTCTAGTTCAGTTCTAGTTCAGTTCTAGTTCAGTTCTAGTTCAGTTCTAGTTCAGTTCTAGTTCAGTTCTAGTTCAGTTCTAGTTCAGTTCTAGTTCAGTTCTAGTTCAGTTCTAGTTCAGTTCTAGTTCAGTTCTAGTTCAGTTCTAGTTCAGTTCTAGTTCAGTTCTAGTTCAGTTCTAGTTCAGTTCTAGTTCAGTTCTAGTTCAGTTCTAGTTCAGTTCTAGTTCAGTTCTAGTTCAGTTCTAGTTCAGTTCTAGTTCAGTTCTAGTTCAGTTCTAGTTCAGTTCTAGTTCAGTTCTAGTTCAGTTCTAGTTCAGTTCTAGTTCAGTTCTAGTTCAGTCCTAGTTCAGTTCTAGTTCAGTTCTAATTCACTTCCAGTTCAGTTCTAGTTCAGTTCTAGTTCAGATCTAGTTCAGTTCTAGTTCAGTTCTAGTTCAGTTCTAGTTCAGTTCTAGTTCAGTTCTAGTTCAGTTCTAGTTCAGTTCTAGTTCAGTTCTAGTTCAGTTCTAGTTCAGTTCTAGTTCAGTTCTAGTTCAGTTCTAGTTCAGTTCTAGTTCAGTTCTAGTTCAGTTCTAGTTCAGTTCTAGTTCAGTTCTAGTTCAGTTCTAGTTCAGTTCTAGTTCAGTTCTAGTTCAGTTCTAGTTCAGTTCTAGTTCAGTTCTAGTTGATCTAGTTCAGTTCTAGTTCAGTTCTAGTTCAGTTCTAGTTCAGATCTAGTTCAGATCTAGTTCAGTTCTAGTTCAGTTCTAGTTCAGTTCTAGTTCAGTTCTAGTTCAGTTCTAGTTCAGTTCTAGTTCAGTTCTAGTTCAGTTCTAGTTCAGTTCTAGTTCTAGTTCAGTTCTAGTTCAGTTCTAGTTCAGTTCTAGTTCAGTTCTAGTTCAGTTCTAGTTCAGATCTAGTTCAGATTCTAGTTCAGTTCTAGTTCAGTCTAGTTCAGTTCTAGTTCAGTTCTAGTTCAGTTCTAGTTCAGTTCTAGTTCAGTTCTAGTTCAGTTCTAGTTCAGTTCTAGTTCAGTTCTAGTTCAGTTCTAGTTCAGTTCTAGTTCAGTTCTAGTTCAGTTCTAGTTCAGTTCTAGTTCAGTTCTAGTCAGTTCTAGTTCAGTTCTAGTTTCAGTTCTAGTTCAGTTCTAGTTCAGTTCTAGTTCAGTTCTAGTTCAGTTCTAGTTCAGTTCTAGTTCAGTTCTAGTTCAGTTCTAGTTCAGTTCTAGTTCAGTTCTAGTTCAGTTCTAGTTCAGTTCTAGTTCAGTTCTAGTTCAGTTCTAGTTCAGTTCTAGTTCAGTTCTAGTTCAGTTCTAGTTCAGTTCTAGTTCAGTTCTAGTTCAGTTCTAGTTCAGTTCTAGTTCAGTTCTAGTTCAGTTCTAGTTCAGTTCTAGTTCAGTTCTAGTTCAGTTCTAGTTCTAGTTCAGTTCTAGTTCAGTTCTAGTTCAGTTCTAGTTCAGTTCTAGTTCAGTTCTAGTTCAGTTCTAGTTCAGTTCTAGTTCAGTTCTAGTTCAGTTCTAGTTCAGTTCTAGTTCAGTTCTAGTTCAGTTCTAGTTCAGTTCTAGTTCAGTTCTAGTTCAGATCTAGTTCAGTTCAAGTTCAGTTCAAGTTCAGTTAAAGTTCAGTTCAAGTTCAGTTCAAGTTCAGTTCAAGTTCAGTTCAAGTTGAGTTCAAGTTCAGTTCAAGTTCAGTTAAGTTCAGTTCAAGTTCAGTTCAAGTTCAGTTCAAGTTCAGTTCAAGTTCAGTGCAAGTTCAGTTCAAGTTCAGTTCAAGTTCAGTTCATGTTCAGTTCAAGTTCAGTTCAAGTTCATTCTGGTTCAGTATTAGTTCATTTATAATTCAGTTTTAATTCTATCTAGTTCTCATCCATTCAACTCTAGTTCTGTTCCGTGTTAGTTCGTTTCTAGTTCAGTTCTAGTTTTTTTCAAATTTATCAATTATCTACAATATGATTCACTTTACTAAAAAACAACAACACTTTGCTTAAACTTAAATAGTTTACAATGTTTTTTTTTTCCTCCCAAATTTTCTCTCCTAATTTTCAACATCTATCTTTCTTAATTAATAATATGTTATATAAACATATAAAACAACAATTAAATTATAAAAATAAACAAAATATATTTAATTTGTTCTTGTTATTGCCGTTTTAATAACAAATATTGACGGCAATACTGTTTCTTATATATTTCATTCCAAGAAGTTTCCACACTTTTTTCACTAATTGCCTTTTAATTTTTAATAATATTTTTATATAATCTTATTAAGCAATATTTAAATTATACAAATAAACAAAAACATTTTCAATTTCTTTAATTTTTAATCATTTCATTAACAATTATTGACAACAATCAAATCACTTAACAAAACCGAGAACACTTAAATCAAACGATAATTGTCATAATGATGTCCATATTTTTGTTGTTATTATTGTTATGCATTATTACTAACTTCCTAGTTGTTTGTTGTTATGTTTGTTTTTAAAAGAGGTTGAGAAGTGGGAATAAGAAGTGCTTTGCATTACTATTCTCACTAACTCTTCCTTCATACAT